TTATTAATTCCAGTTTCTTTTATTAGTCTGTAAAGCTGTCTTGTGTTCCCTATAGTCGCCGCCTTTTCCATCTCTTTTGCTTTCATTGCCCACCACTGCTCACGGTCGTTTCTTAGACTTTTTCTTAACCTAGATCTGATTTGTTGTCGCTCTTCATCATGTTCGGAACCTGATGGGACGAGTTTGCGAGAATCCATCAGTGTGATAGACTTTGAAGAAATCCACTGGTTCCTTGCAACTCTGTGGTTTAAGTCGCTAATAAATGTCACTGCTGTTTCCACAGCTGCTTGTATGTCTTTCCAAGCAACATCTGGGTCAGCCTCGTCTTTAGAACTACCTAAGTGTGAACTCAGTTGTTCTTGGAACCTATTTTTGGTTTTTTTCGTTACTCAACTCAGTTCTAATGGGTCTTTTTAATGTGGCTTTTTTGCGTCCAGTGAGGCGCAAGCAGATGCGTGCCCGTATTAGGGCGTAGTCGGAGTCCAAATAGGTATTCCAGAAAGAGCGGCAGTCTTCTATCGAGCCTCTCCAGAAAATGACTGATGGCAATATGGTCTATTTGAGTACATCGTTGGTTTGGTGTAGAGGGTCGCCATGTTAGACGATGTCTCTCCTTATGCTTAAAATTTGTGTTTGCTAAAAATAAACGATTGTCTGAGCATAGTTGCAGCAGACGATCACCATTATCTGTTCGCTGTGTCGGAATACTAAAATACCCACCTAAATATCTTTCTGTTTGGTTTAAACTACCTACTCGGGCATTAAAGTCACCTGCTACGAGTACTATATCTGAGCGTTTAGCTTTATGAAGAAGTTCGGACAGCTTTCTGTAAAATTCATCTTTCACTTCACCTGAGCTGCAGTCGGTGGGGGCGTAGACAGAAACGACGAAAAGGCAACGACGTGAGTCCCTATCCTTCCGAGTTCTTACGGAGCCGTTTAGCCGAACAGCACATAGACGACTGTTGACGGGGATCCACTCTAACAGTGCTTGTTCCGCCCTCATGCTTAGTGCTATGCCTACTCCTGCCAGTCCACGAGAGCTGGCCATCGGGTCACCAGATACACGGAGGGTGTATCTCGTTGGCTCTCCGTTTCGCCGAGGTGAGGTCAAGTGAATGACCACACTGGAATCCTGTATGCGTGTTTCGGAGACACAGAATACATCAATGGAAAGAGACTCTAGGGTTTTAGCCAAGGAAGCCTGCTGACCGATTCGACATAGGGTTCGTACGTTGAAGGCTCCAATGTGTAGTTTGGAGTCAGGTTTCAGTAGACCTGGGACAGAGTTTTGAGCACTAGAATCGTTGGCTATAGTGACACTTGAAGAGGAAGCCGAAAGAGGAAGTTTAGAGTTGAAAGTCGATGTAGAAGGAATAATAGGAATTGAAGAGGAAGGTTGATTATGAATACAGTGATCTTGGGTGCTGTTAGAGGTATGAGGGCGGTTATCACTTCCCGGTTGCCCACCTCTAACAGCACCCAAAATCACTAGAAGCACAAAGGATTTGCCTAACTACTGTTGGCAAACGTTGTAGCCAAATTTCCTTGAGAAAAGCATCATCAACTTTATAAGGTCCAGCCAATTGTCTTATGTGGCGTAATAATTGGGAAGGTGACTTGTCGCCTAACTCACACTCGTGCAGTAATTTTTGTAATCTCTTTTCATCTGATAGTGAGGTACGTTGGATAATGGCCTGCTTCAATTGATCATATGGATTAGATGCAGGAATGTTATCTATCAGATCCGATACCTCAGATGCTACTTCAGTAGGCAGTAGTCCAAGCACGAAAGAGTATTTTGATGTCTGTGAGCGTATGTTACGACGTTGAAACTGTACTTCCACTTGTGCAAACCAAATGCGAGGGTTTAATCGACTGGATGGAAGCACATTTATCAAGTTTAGAGCATGTAGCTCTGTTGAAATGCTATCCTGGCTCGTGCCTTCAGTTTCGGAAGGGTACATTACAAATATACAAAAAATAATTACAACCAAGAGGAAAGTAACGCCGTTATGTATGTGAGTGAACTCAAAATTAGTTTCGAGAAAAAAAATTTACGGGCCCACCAAATTTGTGGTGGTTCCCAGCAAAAGGAGCTTATACAAGATATATCGATACACTAGGTTAATAATAATATACCAAGAGTTAACAGTAAAAACCCTTGGTTTTACTCGCAGACAGACACCTAAATGTGGTCTTACATATATGGGATATAAAATTCGAAACGTTTCCTCGTCAAAAGATTTGAACGCTCGGCGAAGTGACCATAACGCACGAAAACCTTCGACAGCAGCTGCTTTGCAATGCGCAATTGTTTTTAAATCATGACTTATTACTACTCCTAAGTCTTTATGTTCTTGAGCATATGGAAGAGGTTTACCATCAATAGTATAACGGTAACTATTACTGTGACCGATGTGCATTAGCACACTCTTCCTAGCATTGATTTCTAAGCCCCACTCTCGAGCCCATCTAACTAAATCGTCTAAGTCAGCTTGAAGATCCAGATGATCAGCCGCACTTTTTATTGTTCTCCAGATTTTTACATCATCCACAAACAATAATGTCGACGACCTAAGCAACAGCGGTAACTCACTAACGTAGAGAAGGAAGAGTAGAGGGCCTAAGATGGTGCCTTGGGGTACACCACTTTTGACCGGCTTCCAATCGGATAGCGTTCCGTTGACCCTCACTCTCTGTCTGCAGCCATATAAGAAGTTTCCTATCCACTCATGTACAGTACCTATTATTCCGAAGCTCGTGAGCTTCTGCATAAGACCTATGTGTGAAACCTTGTCAAATGCTTTGCTAAAATCTATGAATATCACATCGACAGACAGACCGTTATCTAGGGCTACTGTCCAATCCTCTCACGCAATAAGCAAGTTAGTCAAGCATGAACGCTTGTTACGAAATTCGTGTTGCTTAGGAGCTAGCAGATTGAGTAAATCTATATGGCTTAGCAACATAACCCGAATTATCTTTTCAAGTAACTTAACGACTATGCTAGTTAGACTGACAGGCCGGTAGTTAGATACTATCTGTCTCTGACCGTCCTTAAATACAGGTCTGACTATAGCGTCCTTCCAATCTCTAGGGAGTCGAGCGAGTGAAAGGGACATGTTGAAGAGTGTCGCGAGCGGTTTTGAAATAATGTCCGCAAGAGATGACAGCAACCGTGGATGCAACCCGTCAGGGCCCGGTATCTTACCAAGTTTGAGGTTAGTTATCAACGGAAGGACAGTTTCCTCAGTCACCTGTACAGATTCAATGGTTGGTATCTCGGTGTGAGTGGGACAAATATTTGTTACAATAAACGTAGAGTAGACTTCACTAAAATAGTTTGAAAAAATCTCAGCTTTTGCTCGATCTGATTCAGCTAGTAAATCTGAATTTTCGTGTAACAGTAACGGGGGAATACCATCACTACGTTTCACTCACCGTTTAACATACGAAAACAATCGTATCGGACAAGTACGGCTATCATATACTAACTGTCGTCCGTAAGTGGTACGGGATTTCGCTATGGTTTTCTTACAGATATTACGGAATTTTTGGTACTCACGCTTAAATGGTTCATGACTTGTCAACAAGAATAAGTCCCAGAAATGTTTCCTACGCTTTAACAGCTTCCGGGTTTCCTTATTAATCCATGGAGGGCAATGTGATAGCTTACGTGCTGACCATGGGATAAACGGCGACGTTACGAACTCGAATGTAGCCTTAAACTTATTCCATTCATCTTCGATCAATCCATCCACGTCGACCGACCAATCAGTCAAGATAGCACAGTTTTTGATTGCCGGAATATTGGCTCGCCAGATATTGGGACGGGGTGGAGCAGATACGAATTGTGTACCACGTATCCTAAACTTAAAGTGAATTAAGTGATCACTGTTCACTAGTGGGGGAAGGTGCTGAATATCAAAGACATCCTCACAGTGGTGGGTGAGGGCGAGGTCCAGCAGTGACGGATCATGGTTGAAATCAATGTGTCGGTCTTGTGATACATTGTACAAGTGCATACTGAATAATGGTAGATAAAAGGTCGCTATCGAAACCACTACCTGGAGCTGTAAGCTCTATCCAGTTGATATGCGGTGCGTTGAAGTCCCCAATGATGAGACAACATTCTGCCATACTCCAAGAACAGATGTGTCTTAGGATAAAGTCGCCAGCAAGACAAAACGTACTACGGTATATTCCCCCTATAGTCAATAACCCATTTCTATATTTAATCTTACAACATGCAACCTTACATGTGCCACTGATATGAGCCTCCGATATGGATGATTGTATACGGAAGTGATCCCTAACGTATAATATTATACCTCCCCCTTTGTGACTCGAAACTCTATCACTTTTAATAGAGATATAACCAGCAATGAAAGGAGAACAGACTATATCTACTGTGAACCAAGTTTCTGTAACAACGACTATATCGGGACATAATTCTTCCACCATCAGACTTAGCTCGGACGTTTTATTTCTAAAACTACGAGTGTTCGTGTGGCACACACTTAAGGTGTTTTGGCGATCAATCGTTCTACCCATACAGGCCTCGGAAGCATTGGCTTCCAAGACCTGACTACCCGAAAACCCTTAATGGTAAGGTTATTTTCGCCATTTAATTTGTGAGTCCTCAACTCCGTAAGAGCATTCTTCCACTTGATTCGATCCTCAAGCGACCAATCTGGTTGAATACGGATATTTGAGTCACGAGTTTTTAGTGCGTTTTTCAATAATGTCTTTCTTCTCGGGGGAGTAAGAATCGAGACACCTCAAAAGGAGATAAAAATGACGACCACATATGTTGGTACCGTAGAAAATGCAGTTTTTATTTTGTCTTTACAAAAATCACTGAATATACGTCACCATACTTCCCCCAAAATAAGGAGATTGGGTACATATATGTACAGTAACCGTTATAACGGTTACTGTTACAACATTTACAGACAAATTGTTCAAAGGGAACAAAGCAGACCAATATGACTTGCTCTAACACTAGAGATTCGTAGATTTCTAACAGGATCCTGTGACTAGTAAGTAGTGCATAGATCTTGGACCACAAACTGACGTCTAGTTCCAAACAAATTTGTCATCTGTGAGTACAATATAACTTTCCTCCAGTTGTATAAAGTAGATAAGAAACAGGTGTTATAAACAGACATATTCTGGCAGTAGAATAAACTTTAATACCTTGAATGTCAACTTACGGCCAACGAAGAGGAAATTAACCGTGATTATCGGCGCCTGTTGCGAGATTTTTGAAATTGTTCTTAAACTGTTCAAATGGTCAAATGGTTGTGGACGGAATAGAAGAAGCTTTCGCTTAACGGGCTTCCATGTCTAGTAGCAGGGGCTCACCAAATCCACCAGGCAGGAACCTAGGTATGTTAACAATGAAAGAGGAAAAGAAATTAGTAAGTCCAAATGGTTCAAATGGTTCAAATGGTTGTGGACGGAATAGAAGAAGCTTTCGCTTAACAGGCTTCCGTGTCTAGTAGCAGGGGATCACCAAATCCTCCAGGCAGGAACCAAGGTATGTTAACAATAAAAAAGGAAAAGAAATTGGTAAATCATAATGTGATGCTGTCCTTGGTCCTTAAGAATAGGTCAAGTTGCCTCTTGAAGGACTCCTGAGAAGTCGCTTGGACTAGCTCGGCCGGCAGCGAATTCCAGCTTTGGACAACTCTTAAGGAGTAGAAGTTGTGTCTACATTCCGTCTTGCTATGTTGTGTTTCCAGTTTCTGGGTGTTACCCCTTAGGTTATTATTCGAACTAAGCTTAAGTAGGTGTTTAAGAGGATGTCCAGAAGTGTTAAGAATACTATAAGCCATTAGTAAATCACCTCTAAGACGCCTATACTCTAATGGGTAAAGGTCTAGTGAACGGAGGCGTTCTTCGTAAGGCTTAGATTTGAGTCCTCGAACTGATTTCGTGGCTCGCCGTTGGATACGCTCCAAAGTGACCTTGTCCTTTTGGAGTGAGGGGGAAATACAATGTTTCCGTACTCTAAATGGGGACGGATGAAACTATTGAAGATTGTATGGAAAGTTCGTCCGTCAAACTGTTCAAAAATGCGCTTCAACGTTACCAGTGCAAGGTTTGCTCGGAAGGCATTTTTGTCACAGTTAGCGTAAGACTTTAAGTCATGGGGCACCAGGACTCCTAAATCTTTTTCGACTTGGGATACTACTAGAGAGGAGTTTCCTAAGTTGTAACTGCAGTTTGCGACATGTCGCAGATGGACTACTTTACACTTTGAAGTGTTAAAGGTAAGTCCGTTATCGTCTGCCCAACTTTGAAGTCGGCTCAGATCCTCCTGAAGTGCCTGTGTATCGTCTTGGTGGCGTATCTCTCTCCAAAGTTTCACGTCGTCGGAAAAAGTTGTAAGTCGGACGTTACCTGTTGAGGAAGATCATTTATGTAGATCAAGAAGAGAAGAGGTCCTAGTACTGAGCCCTGGGGGACCCCACTAGGACATTCCATAGCCTGAGATAAAGTGAAATTAACCCTAACCTTAAAGTGTCGATTTTTTAGGTATGAAGTAAACCAATCGATTAGAGGTGGTTTGATACCTAGTCGTTTGAGCTTGTTGATAAGACACAAGTGGTTAACCTTATCAAAAGCTTTTGAGAAATCAAGGTAAATGACGTCAACCTTTCCCTTGCAATCGAGGATGCTTGTCCATTTGTCCATCGCAGTCAGCAGGTTGGTTATACAAGAGTAACCCTTCCTGAAACCATGCTGTTGGGGTGAGAAGAAATTTAAGGACAGTAGATAGTTATTTAAACCGTCGCATATCAGGGACTCCATGAGTTTTGAAGGTAATGGCAGAAGAGCCACCGGCCGATAACTTGAAGGTTCATTGCGTCGACCACCTTTGAAAATTGGTGTGATGTGAGCCAACTTCCAGTTTTCCGGTAATTTGCCTCGGCTAAGCGAGTGTGAAAACATCACGCTAAGCGGCGTTGCCAGGATTGAGGCTGCCTCTCTCAGTATGGCAGGATGAACCATGTCCGGGCCACGAAAAGTGTCAAGTCTTAAGTGCTGCAATTTCCGGAACACCAAGCCAGCGCTTAGGTCCACTTCAGAAAGTCCTGTGGAGTTGGAGATGAAACTGTCGTCAATAAAGTTGATGTCAACCGGTTGAAATGTTTGAGAGTAATGGGCCGCCAGAGGGTTAGCGGCGTCGCCATCGTTGTTGGTCGGGCCGTTAAGACCTAGCAGTTGAGAAACTCCTGTTTTGGCTTGACGAAGAGAGGCTGCATAACGGAATAGGCTTCTAGTGTTAGAGGCGAATTTGTCCATAAGCTTTGTTTGGTACTGAAGCCTGTCTTCTCTTATAGCCTTCGTGCATGTGTTCCTGATATGTTTGTATTGCCTATACGCTCCATCGTTATTAGTTCGTTTGTATTCCGCCCAACAGTGCCGTTTGCGGCTTAGGAGGCGAAGGGTACGGTTCTTGATTACTGTAGGTGGCTTGAAGCGTTTGGGAACCGTTTGAGGAACTGAATGGTCTGTAGCACATAAGAGCATGTGCAGTAAGAAGTCCCAATGACCATCCACATCGATTTGAGCGTGAACATCCCAAACCACCTGTTGTAGATAGTCATGTAGAGCTGGCACATTCAGCCGTTTAAAATTCCAACGCAAATTATTGTTGGGTTACCTTAGCCTAGTTTTGATGACAAAACTGAAGGCTATGACGGCATGATCGCTTTTTCCCAGAGGAGCCAGGATTGAGAGGTTGTCGACTAGGAATTCTTCGTTAGTGAATACACAGTCTAAGCGCGATGGTGTCTGACTGTTTCTCCAACGAGTTGCCGACCTCACATTTTCATATAAGCCCAAGTTATCGATGAGGTTGAAGAACCGAGCTTCAGTTGAGTTGTCGCCTCCAGTGTACGTGTGTTCCGCGAAGTTGACTCTAGGGAGATTAAAGTCCCCTAGAATCAGGATGTGTGTGAAACCGAGACGGATAGAGCGGGATAGTCCTTCCAGCATACGACTATCATACTCGGTGTCGGCAGTTGGCTTCCTGTAAATTACTCCGACTAGACACCTGGAAGTACTAGACAATCTTACAGAGCACCATATGGATTCCTCAAGATTGTTAAACTCGAGGTTGTGAACCTGGTGCACCTCCAAGCAAGAGCTTATGTATATGGCTACTCCGCCCCCAATTCCTGTTTTTCTGTCGTTGCGGAACAAAGTCATCCCAGGCAATGCTAACTCTTGGTCCGAGAACTGAGAAGATATCCAGGTTTCAGATATTCCTATCAGATGGGCCTTGTTAGCGTTGCTAAGTTCACGTAGTTCATCCAGTTTGTTTGGTAGACTCGCGGCGTTCATATATAAGCAGTTTATGCTTTCAATTTGGAACGCGTGAGCTTCGTCCTGTTTTTCTGTATGAACCTTATGTGAATGGACAGGTAGCCCACCTATATGAGGTTTGCCGAGGTGGTAGGCCCTGTCCTTTACACGTTTTTTTACCGTTTAGACAGTTCACAAGTGGAATGGTCAGCTCCAACTTGCCTTTGTTGTTGGTCCTGACTTCGTATGGCCTATCCGGGTGCATGTGGATTCCAGGTGGCAGTCGACGTCTATTAGCACGAAATGCTTCCAGAACTGCAGCCGCCATGTGGGAAGATGGGAAGGTTATCTTCATTAGACGGGGCCTAAGATCACCGTCCTTCTTGGCTAGTCTCGTCACATGCTGAGTCAGTATGTGTTTGAGCCTCAAGGACTGTTTGATGAATTTCCATTCCCTGATGTCAGAATTTGATTGAGTAGGGTCTGCATTTTCCGGTATACCTTGGACAATTATGTTTCTTCCGCGGAAAAACTTCTCGCGAGATTCTTTAGGGACGTTTCGTATGATACTGCGCTCAGAGTACGGTATGTCGGGCAGTATTCTTACGTTACCATCTGATTTCAGCAAGTGGCTTGCTAGCAAGACGTCCTCTACGTCGGTAGCATTCTTAAGTGTTACTCGGAGAAGCCTCGGGTGATTTAGATGCTTAGAATCCTTTCCTCGAGTGAGCCGGGTGACCGTCAAAGGCTCTATTCTAGGAAGTTCGAGCTTCTTGTTCAATTCACCCCACAGCATCCTGTCGTTTTTGTCCTGCAGACTGAGAGGAAGGTCAGGATTGTCGACGAGGTTCATGATAATGAGAGAATCGTCACGAACTGTTGTTAATTTACCAGGTTTCACGATGGGTTCACGTTTAATAACTTGTTGTTTGGAGGTCAGTGTGCGTTTATGAGTCTTGGGCTCTTTATTGACCGGACGAACAGTCTTGGGGGTAGACTGTGCGACTAAATCACCAGTTATTTTCCGTGCAGCAACACGTGGGTTGCTCGGCTTAGGCGGTGATGCCTGGTTCTTTTGGGCTCTCTTAACGTGGGTCGAATCACCTGCAGGGTTTTTGGCAACCACTGTTGTGTTCGGGGACCCTGAGCTGGGAGACCCGAGTTTGCCTAGGGAGTTCAGTACCGTCGACGTAATGATGGTACTGAGCCTCGACACGTCGTCGTTAGTGTTGATGGATGCTCCATCGATGGAATACCTATCGACATCCCTGTTTTTGAGTCCGTTGCACGCTCTTGTTTGTATATAAGTTTTTTTACTATCGTCTTCCAAGTTAACTGACAACTTGTTCCGAAGACCTGTCAGTAGGACAATGATGTTACTCAGCAAGACTACGGAGTCTGTGTTGCACGTGACGCACACCCACTTTTGCTCTGACTTGCTGAGTCTGTTGTAATCAGTTGCTGTCAGATTTGTGCATGCTTCGTGGAACCAACCATTGCAGTTGTCACACTGCATGCCAGTTGTGACAGCAAAACGGCATCCCAGACGTTTGCATGAGTTTTTCATGACGGTGTTGAAGCAAATTATGTTATAGATGCTTGCAAGAGCCTAAGACCTTTTAAAAAAACACTAAAAAGCACACTGAAAACGGACAAAAATGGACAAAACGAGTGATATAAACTTAAACTAGTCTATACGTGAAAAACAAAAAAAACCGAATAGTAAGCTGAGGCAAAACCACAGGTAACTATTAAATATAGTGAAACTCAAAAAAAAGTAATCTACCGAACGTATAGCTCAGGATAGATTCTTTAGAACTGAAATGGTACTTTTGTTGCGTAAGAACACAGCAAAAGTTTGATAAATGCAAATCACGTTAGGACTAAACTTCCCGTTTGAAAAGTATTCAGTATGAATTCA